TATTATTTTTACTTCTCGAGCGTAAGCGACGTTTCATAACTTACGAAAAAAATAGGTCCTCAATTTGGTTTGTCTGTCGTCTATGTTGTTTTTTTTGGACAGATAATTTCTGAAATTACTGAACCGATTGTTATCAAATTTTAGATATTTGTTAAGAATTTCGTGTATATTATAAAACGGCAATCAAAATTTGTCTTATCATCCCCACTAAGAATTTGACGACGTCACTTCCAAATTTTGCATAGTAAATATGATTTAAATTGTATGCAGTAACATATTTCTGTACTTGTAGTTTATGAATCCGCCTTGATTTTTATCATTATTAATTATGATACGCATACAAGAGGCGCTAGTCTGGAGCTCTGCCTGCGTGGGATTGAATCGACATTGAATTTGTTTGAATGTTTGACTTTCGATGCGAGGGAATTTCTGTGTAAATAACTTTTTACCATTTTGCTATTTCCAGGACTAGGGAATTGTTGGACTAGGGTCCATTTAACGAATGGCTAATTTCATGTTTTCTTTCCGGTCTTATTAATTAATTGATCAACATTTATCTGGTTTTCCTTAACCTTAGACGTGTAGATTTGTACACTTTTTTTTTCATTTTGTTATTTTCGTGATTTAACGTAGTTTTTACTTCTCAAGCGTAAGTTGAGGAAATATAGTAATCGAGTCCATCGGACGAATGACCAGTTTTATATTTTCTCGACCACTACAGTACCAAAAAAGTAGTCTCCCGTTTCCGTCCGTCTGTCTGTCTGTCTGGTGTCTGTATCTAATTTTATTAGACAAATAATCTCCGAATCTGCTGGACCGATTGTTGTCAAATTTTGTATGTAGGTATATTAGAAATATTATGTAGATGCTAACCAAAATTTTGCTAATCATTCCCACCAACAATTTGATGACGTCATTTCAATGAACCATATTTTAAAATGATTTGAATGTTATACAAAAATATACTCCTATACTTTTAGTGTACGAATCCGCTTTCAGTTTTTTCGCTAAACGTTTAAATTTTCGTAAAAACATCTGCAAGGTATAATAACGTTACCGTTATGGGTTCGATGCCAGAATTGGCCCTTTACTTTTTTTCTTGTATTGGTAATACGCTATGACTACATTTCTTTTGTGCTGTGATTAGTATTATCCATGTTATGACGTCATCACACATTTTTTTTGGTCAAATTAAGAACGAAGCACCCCATGTTCTCAAACATGTCTTTATATAATAATAACATGTTCGATTGTGGTTTAATTAATAATTTTAATTCTCTGCTTTGAGAAGACAAACTCATTCAAATCAAACTAATTTCTACGTAACATTCTTTCGATGTATAAAAAACATAAAAATATATAAATATAAACATAGCTTCAGATTGCTATTACCTAGTGCTTAAGGACATCTTATCCCGTTAGTTATGTGTTTTAAATATATTTTAGATTGTCCGTATGAAGCAGGGGCTGCGGGGATGTTATTTATGCCGCTGGTTTTTACTTTACAGCGGTTATCACAAAACGAGAATTTTAAAATCAAATTTTATAAATTTTTTTAAAGGGCTGGATTTGACGAATTGACTACCAGTTTTTTGTTGATCAAATTAAGAACCTCATTGTCATTGAGAATACCCACGTCTTTATTTAATTATGATCAGATAAGAATAATAATAATCATATTTAAAACATTTTGTTCCATTGTGGTTTCATTGATAATTTTAGTCCTCTGTTTTGAGGAGACAACTCATTCAAATTAAACAAATTTCTACGTGACATTCTTTCGATGTATAAACATAAACAATCGAAGTTAAGCATGCACACTGATAATACACTCTTTACTGGTTATCAGAAAACATTTTTTTTTAATAATTTTTCAAAGAAGTGGAATTTGTTGGACTCTACTGCAACGGCGAGGAAATTCCGTCGAAGTACCCTTGGACCAATTTTTTTTTAGTCATCTATTCATTATTTCATTTGAAATCAGTATTATTCACCTGATACTTCCCATTTAAGTTTTCTGTTTACTAAATTAAGAAGGTAGAATATAGAGTATTATTTTTTATTTAATTCTGTCAAAAATACGCTGGAGATAAATACACAAACTTCTATAAATTTGCTAGGTTTATACAATGAAATAAGTATTGTCTTAGCTATGCACAACTGTAAAAAACAAATGGTTAAAAATAGAAACAAACGTGATCCAAAAAAAATATTGTTAGGATAGACGGGTTTTTAAAAATTGACATGGGTTAAATTCAACAATTATTTCTTAGTAACTCAAATTTACACGACTGATTGTTTATTACACAACGATTATACAAAATAATTCCGGCGCAACTTATCTGTACTCTCGTGGACTCGATTGACTGAATAATAATTGTTCCCGACGGTGGTCTCTATTTAGATGTAGACGTTCCTCTCGATGGTTCAAGAACACCGCTTCGAGGGTTTTCTGGGAGGCCCATCGCGACTTCCGCTTCCAGGCTTCTCGTCAGCGAACGCCGCGCCGCCCGGCCAATGAGTCATCACCGCCGTACACACCAGAATGAACACATACATACTAGAAGACCCATAGGCGTCGTACGGGGGGGGGGGGGGGTATGGGTTTCTATTGCACTTTGTAAAGTTGATTCTTTTCCATGTAACTGTCGTCCAACTCTATATCCAGTAAATTTCTATAGAGTGAAAATCACTTCAAAACTGCAGTCATTTGCAGAATAACAAAAAATTTAATTGTGTATAGGTGCGAATTTAACAGAAATTTGGTCTATATTGACGTCGTCAGTATAAATTAAAGATCATAATTTATAGTGAAACCAGTTGTCAACCAAATTTCAAATTACGGCCCAACTTCGCATTTTATACAGGACGATATAAAAATATGTTAGAAAAACGGTCAATGCTATAGTTGACTACCTACATATTAGTTCTTTCCTGTTTACATTTATAGTCAGTAAAAAACCACTGAGAATCCAAAGTATCATTTAAGTAACAAAAATACGATAATTAAATCAAGTTTCTGTGATTAATGACACAAGTTTTAAACCACGCTATAGAACAAAGTGCAGCGACGGTAACGTCATGGAACGTTTTCTTTTTGATAAGATCGTATTATCATGTTGTTGACTTATTTTCCTTCAAAATACATTGCTAAAAATACTAATACAATTGCTTATTTTAATGTTCTCATATTTCGATAGCTAATGCCAGAATTGTGATAAGACCATTTTGACATTTTTTCTAATAATTAGCTTTCTTAAAAAATGACTTTTCGTTATATTATTTCACGAACTATACACACGATTTCTTTAAAATTTTGGTGAGAAAATAACATTTTTTGAGAGAATATCAAATATTAATTAAAATTTATTTCTTTGTTTGCTACAATTGAAATCAAATTTGAAATTTTAAGATAAATTATTTGAGTGACAAAATTGCCGAGAACTTTCCCGTCGTGTAGCTGTTTGATATTCTAACAAAACACAAACTTTCATATGATGTGTAATATTCTTTTATCTGTTATTCCGCTTAGTTCCTTCGATGATTTTTATCGGCAGTGTTTATTTGGCTCGTGTGAGAACTGGTTACATCGATGTTATCGTCCTCCCAACAACGAAATAGCAATCGAAATATCAAATACAAGCTCCCATCCTGCCAAAACGCAATCTCAACATGCAACCAGCAGGAATTGCACCAGATAGGACTAAACTGCAGCGGCAGCAGCAGCAGACGCTCCCATTCCGAGAAGAATCCAATCTTCTCGGACGAAATATATTAAGCACGACCATCATGATCTCGCACACCAATTAACCACCCTGCGAACCAGCATACCATCGACCAACAACCCATGAACTCGCCTCAAATAATCCCAGATCGGTGCGATTTTCAGGATCTTGTCCTGACACTGGCGTCTTGCTGGTTGCTTTGTCTGTTTTCGTGATCAATACTGGGAGGAGGCTGTGACGTCATATCTCGGCCATCTTGTCATATCGGCCTCCATTCCGGGAGATGCGATGCGATGTGATCTGTGCTGAAATGTCCTGAAACCGCCCCTCCGCCGCCCTCACTCCTGGCGGCGACTTTTCAGACCGCAATCAACGTTCTGCTGAATCATCTCTACAGCGCAGATAAGATTGCAAACTGTATAATTGAAATTCGAATATTTATTGTCCTTAACTGATAACGAGGAGCTTTGTTTGTGTTTTGGGGAATGTAGAAAGATGGTGTGTGATTATGGGCATTGTGGAGAAGGATTCGGATCGGGTTACGACACGCGCCAAAGAGATGGGTAGAGGACAATGGAGATAATTGGACTAAAGGGACATGTATATTTTTTGACAGCGGGAAAACATCGACTATCATTATTGCGGTATCATTGTCACTGTTGATACTTTTAATAGCAATATCGATCTTTTTTCAAAACGAATGTCTTAACTAATAACATATTAATTCCATCTATTTTTGCATAACAAACTGTATTTAAATTTTATAAAATAACTTACTCCGATACTTGTGAGTTATGAATCCGTCTTGATATCCTTTAAACATCTAGATTTTTGAAAAAAAAAAAAACAAAATCGAATGGCAACATTTTACAATTAACTTTGAACAGAGTGCTCCGAAATATTTAAATTGTTATATTTTTTAGACTTATACAGGGTGACTCAAAAAAAATGAATGAATGAGGCAGTTTGTTTTGTTGGTCAAATTAAGCACGGCTCAACCCACTTTCCCAAAATTTGGGAATAGAGTTATTCTTAGTATTAGACTGCACCTATCTTCCGTCTAAATCAACTTGGACTATTTTTTCGTGGTTGAAATGGTTTACAAGAATTGTTTTTTTTACTGTCCTACCATAGAGTAGGCTTCAAAAATTCCACAGAAACCCTTTAACTTTTTCAAATGATGATAACTGATACAAACATCTGGAAAATTTCTCAGAAACAGCACTTTTTAGAATTATTTATTAATGTAAATATTGGTATTAATGTTATAAATGATAAAATTCAGTTGCATGGATTTAGCACCAAAACTTGAAACGATTCAGACTGAATTTCCTTACCGCCACCAACAAAGAACATGTCTGCTTTGCCCGGTATCCCGTGAATTTTTCCCACGATTAGTTCTCCTTCGTGCCGCACTCGTCCAACGTTGAGCAGCGTTTTACCTCCATTATGGGGATGGTAACCACCAATGACTAGTTCTTTGCCAGCTGTAACCGAATGCAGATCCGAAGGAGTAACGTTTATCCAAGAAAGAGACTTGGGGTTTGAAGTACAAAGTATCTGCAACCACACTGCTGAAACTGTATTTTATTTCGATAAAACTACATACTTTCATGGCAAAATCAGAGTAATTCGCTTCCCAACCAGCGGGTAGGTACATTGCGGATTGACCCCGGTAAACATTTGTTGGTATTATGCCTGCGCCTGTTAAGTATGCTTGACCAATGTAGGTGGGATTACCCTTTGAATCATGTCCACCCGGAAATGCGTCTTCAGGTATTTTTCCGGTGTAATCTCGCCAGTAGTAACCTAAAATATTACTATAGTGTTTAATATTTTTGGACGCCGTTAATATTTTCGTTTTCACAATAGATTTTTTTGTTACTTACCTTTTGGTACTGGTTGGCAATCCTGATTATAATTGTAGTCATAACATTCATGACAATTGATAAATAGAATACATCCAATTGTGACAATTCGAAAAACAATGTGTTGGTCCATATTGCCACACTTCGAGAGTTGGTAGAAACACTGTGTTCAAATAATAAATTTTGCTTTTATTTATAGCGGCTTCACTTGTGAAATTCCATTTATTATTTATCTTTGTGTGTATGGTTTGTCGATGATTTGTTTTAAAACCAGTTTGTTAATGTGAAGAAACATTGAACTGATAGGGGATAGTCAAATGATGTAGGAATCCGTCCAAGAAGAGATTACTTAAATACTTTTAATCTAAAACCCATTACAGTAATATATTTTTTCATTTTAGAACTGATGTCCTCTCTTGACTTTTTTTATCTATTTCGCGGTTTTAAATTTTAAAACTAGAGATGGTTATTTTATTAAACAATTTTATTAATATTAGAAAATTAATACAAAGTGTTTATCCAAGGATATATTTTGACTTTTACAAAAACCCTGACGTCATTAGCAAATCGCAACTGTTTCATTATTCAGCATTGTCCTAAATGGGTGGTAAATGGAGTACGGGGGGTCTCCACTTCATGAACAATAAGGATTCTCCAAGCACACGTTTTTAGACAATGCATGAGACACATTGTTTCAGAAGTGGTGTGGATTGCGGCCACCTCTGCAGCTGCCTCTTCATAATGTTAAAATGATACGGCACGCGAATGCCAATATCCATTTATGCCACTTTTGTCTCAAATGACGGCCTAGCAAGAGTGGATTTTTCACTAGGAAGTGTCTTTCAAAGGTTTCGAGTAAACTAGAAGCGAGCTCGAGCAGTTCCTGAAACAGATAGACATCTATTTTGTTCAACATGGAAAGAATCAATCATAAAAGTAATTTAGCTAGGAAAGCGCTTATCATTTTATCATCAAATTTTATCATGGCGATCGTTAAGGATACGGAATTATTTAAAATAGCTCGTGTTAATATATATATTTATCAGCCGTGTTTCATCGAAACGATTTGGTTGTTTTATCATTGAATATAAATTGTTGTGTTAAAATCTCATTTAAATTTCTTAAAGAGGAACAGTAATGTGTAGCAAAGTGTAAAATTTTATCTCTGGGATTGATCGCTACAAATGGCTTACAAATTCTAATTTGTCTGTTGTCGACAACAAAAGTTTTATTTGTGGGTTTTGTTTTAGGTATAAATCTGGGGCAGCGGAAAGGAATATATATTGTTTAAAGTATTTCTTGTTACAGTTTAAATTTTCAGAGCGCTGTTTTCTTTTTTCAAACGCCATTAATCTGCTCGTATTTTTCGTTTTAAATTTTTAATGGGATATTAAATTTCAAGGCGATGTATTTGTCACATTTCTGTAGTAGAATTCATGTTTTTTTTTTTCAAATTATACTACAAATATACAGTGCATTTGACGTCGTAGCTTAAAAATCCATTAAAACCATGTAACCAAACAAACAACTTCAACTTGTTTGAGCATTTTTTATAAAAAAAAAATGTATTTGTAAAGTAATAGTATTCAGACTCCTTCTTGTATCAATCAGATGAAGATCTAAGACATCACGATTTTTTCTGTCTGAATCGCCGTAAATAGATAAATCTACGAGCAAAAACGGAAGAGCTCTTGAAAAAAATCCTGTTTCCCATTAGCAATTAAAAATTAGATCGTCAGAATAATTGCAACGATGGGAACATGGAACATAAAGGTAACACAAGACCAATAAATAACCGGAATGGGACAGGACGAGGCGCGTGTCTTATTCTAATCGGACGACACCGAAGGCAATAAAATTATCAACGGTGCGCCGTTAGAATATAAATGGTTCATCTTCAATAAAGTGCGTGTAGAGGCAGTGATGTTGCCCACAACCGACAGACTATGCCATACAAAAATCCGTCATGTCTAATTACACGCTGGCACCGTTAACGACCGAGGCGTTCTCCGTGGATAATTTTTATGATTTGTTTTCGAAATGCTGATATACATGTAACAAATTTAATTGCTCGCTAAATAATTGTTTGGTTCTAATTTATACGGCTTGTGTGGGCGCCGGGGCGAAACCGTTCACATGGAAAAAGATACGAGGGATTAATTAAATTTGAAAAAAGGCTGGTTTTTAATTCGCAAATGACAGCGTTCTATATGTTCGTTTCTTCATTCTAAACAAATCGAGTATCCTGTATGAAAATTTGCTTCTAGTTGTGGAAAGGGGACAGCCACAAGAAATCTAATGCTTCAACCCACAATACAGTTTCTTTTGGCGTTTTGGAGTTACGTCTTGTTAAATTTGAAAAATGTCTGTCTTTTAAATTTCAAATGACAAGACATCTTCTTATTCGTCTCTCTAAATGTAAACCAATCAAATCAGAGTATCCGGTCTGAAACTAGAAAGTTCTAAAGATTGTTGTGCCATTTGAAGTTATGTCTCGTTAAATTTGAGAAAAGTTCTTTTTTGTAATTCAAAAATGACACCTTCCAACATATTTGTCACTCCTGTCTAAACGGATCGTCTATCCGGTGTTAAGATTTACTCATAGAAGTAAAAAGCTTCAAGGAATCCAATCCTTCAGTCCGCAGTGTCGACTTTTGTGCCGTTTTGGAATTATCTGATGTTAGAAATGACAAGGGCTCGTTTTTTTATCTCAGAAAATAGATGACATCTTCGTGCGTATTTGTCATTCCTGTCTAAACGGATTGTGCATCCAGTCTGAAAGTTTATACGTGGAAGTAGAAAGCTTCAGTCAATCTAGTGCTCCAAACCGCCATGAAGATTATTGTGTCGTTTGGGTGTTATGTTATGTTAAATTTGAAAATGACTGTTTTTTTTTTTAATTTCGAAAAGGACACCTTTCTACATATTTGTCGTTCCTGACTAGACGAATCTAGTATCCGGTCTGAAAGTTGGCTCATAGAAGTAAAAAGCTTCCAGGAATCCAACGCTTCAAACCGCAGTGTTGATTCTTGTACCGTTTTGAAGTTCAATATCCCCTTAGGTCGTGGTTTGCACATACTCTCTATCCTGACTATCCTCTCATTCAGCTTAGTAGGAAAATACAATCATATTTATAAATAAAACATAATATTGTAGTCAGGTTGGCCGAATGGTTTAAGGCGTGAGATTTAAGCTCCGATTCTCGAAAGGGAGCGTGAGTTCGAATCCCACACCTGACTCTTTTTTATCTCAAAAATAACACATTTCTACATATTGATGACTCCTGACTAAACAGATCTAGGATTCGGTCTGAAGATTGACTCATTGAAGTAGAAATGTCTGGTGCCATTTTGGAGTTATGTTCCGTTAAATTTGAAAACGGTTCTATTTTTATCTCAAAAATGACACCTTAGATATACATTCGTCACTTCTTACTAAACGAAGACTGCAGTAGCAGAAAGCTTCAAGGAATCTATTGCTTCAAACCGTAGTGCGGGTTCTTATGTCGGTTTGGAATTATGTCTTGTTAAATTTGAAAAAAAGGGTGTTTAACTCACAAACGACATCTTCCTATAAATTCCTCTCTACCCACAAAACGGATAGAGTATTCGGCCTAAAAATTTGCTCACAAAACTGGAAACCTCCAAAGAATCGAATAAAGAATTCAAATTTATCAAAAAAAGTCCAAGAGATTAATAAAAATTCTAATTCCAAATAACGACTTAGCCAAATTGTCGATTAATAAGAGTGCTTACCCAAAAGCTGCACATATTCAGTTTTGCTATATTATTGAAAATTACAAAAGATGAAACTTAGAGATGTTGTTCCATGAGTTCTCTCTTGTCTTTTTCTTCCCTTTGCTGATTCATTTGCTCTTCATATCTTCCCCAACCTCCTCTCCAGCGTTTGCTTGTTCTGCCCCTTTAATTCTTGTATTTTTTGTTGTTTCCAGGTTATTTTCTTTATAGTTCGGTCAACTGGCAATTTTTCTAGGTGTGTTAGACTTCTCATTCGTACTATGTATTGCACTAATTTATACCACCACTGGTTTTCTTAGAGCTCATAAATTTGATTTGTTTTTTGATCACAGAGATCTTCTACTACTATTCTTCTGATAATCTTCCTTTTTCATCTTCGTAGTGTTTCTTCTGTCCTCATAAATATTTAACTTCCAGCAGGTCCCATATCCATTAACGCCGTAGGTATTTAATAATGTCGTGTCCTCATAACACAATATAAGTAGTTATATAGTGGGGTTTCTGGTTCAATAAATTTGAGCTAGGAGCCCCATTACTTTTTATCAAGCGCTTGTCATCGACTTGTCCTCGGTTGACCTGACCCCTTGTTCGGTCGGCTTCGGATAGTGTCGTGTACAGCGATCATTGACCTTTTGTTGACCTGGGGGTTCAATATTCCCTTGGTCGTGTTTTACGCATACTCTCTATCCTGACTATCCTCTCATATAGCTTAGTAGGAAAATACATATTTATAAACAAACCATTTAATTGTAGTCGGGTTGACCGAGTGGTTTTAAGGCGTTAGATTTAAGCTCTGATTCTCGAAAGGGAGCGTGGATTCGAATCCCACACCTGACAGTTTTTTTGCGTTTAAATAAAACACATTTTAATGTTATTTTATTTATTGAGGAAATACAGAATACAGCCAGTTGTAAATATTTTTAGCGTTATTTAATGAACAGGAACATTTTTTATTATTAGATAAATCGTTATCACATGCTGGAATTTCTTTGGTCAATTTCACAGTCTTCTATGGCTTCCAGATTCACAATTTTGGGACATTCTTTTCCTAGCGTTTCCTTGAGATATTTTTTTTTGTTTCTTCCTTCTTCCTTTCACGTATACGATCTCCCCCCCATTTTCTTGATGTATTCGATCAAAATTTGTTTAACAGATGTCTGATCCTTGGCGCTCGAGTAAAACGACATTTATATAACCGCACAAGAGATGGGGGGATACTACCCGAATTTGCACGACCGTCCCCGACGGTGAGCTAGAAGCCCCACCATATAACTACTAATATATAAGATATGACTGATTTTGACACTGTTGACATTTTCAACCTTATTTGAGATTGAGCTATACATTTTCTTGTAGATTTCGACATCCAGCAGTC